TCTCTCCTGGGCGTCCCCTCTGAGAGCGGGCGGGCGTGGTCTCTCCTGGGCGTCCCCTCTGAGAGCGGGCGGGGCGTGGTCTCTCCTGGGCGTCCTCGCTGAGCCCGCCAACCAAGGGCGTGGTCTCTCCCGCCACATCCCTTTCCGGGGAGACCCCTGTGCCGCCACACCCACTCTCCTAGGCGTCCCCTCTGGAGGGAGGCCAGCCCCGCCCTCCCCGGCAGACCCCCTGCCACCCGCAGCCTGACCCAGGTGAGGGGCGACGAGTGCCACGCCTTCACGCGCCATGCCGGCCAGGGGGACACGGAGCTGCTGGCCAACCTGCCTGACCAGAGGGTCGCCCTGCAGCGCAAGGCCTTGGACTGTCTGGTAGGTGGCCGGGCAAGGAGGGTGCGGTGGGGACCCCAGATCTCTGGCTCAGCGCTGACCTGCCGTTTACAGGGAGGGCCCCGCCAGCGGCTCAGCGCCTCAGACGTGCTGCTTCTCGGGAGCCTGGTGTGCGACATGGACGTGGCCAGCATTGTGGCTGCTGACCCCCACATCCTGCAGAACCTGCAGTGCTGCCCCCGGCTGACCGCCGCCCAGCAGTATGCCCTCAACACGCTGCTGGCCAGCGGAAGGACCGCACTCGGGTGGGTGGGGGCTGTGGGGGACACCCTGCTACTCTAGGCACCCCGGGTCCACACTTGCCCAGGGCTCCTGTCCTTGGGGATGGGAGGGGGTGACAGCCTGGGTGTGGGCTGAGGAGGTCACTGATGTTCACAGCTCTACTGACCTCTGATCTCTGACCTTAGCCCTGAGCCCTCCTCTGACCCTGCAGTCCAAGGGACACAGGGTTTAGGGAATGGAGCAGCAGCTTCTTGGACCCCCAGCTCTGGGCCCCTCAATTTAAGTATCCCGACCAGGGCCGGCCTGCGAACAGACCGTCTCATGGACTCCAGCTCGGGGGGAAGCTGGGCTGTCTGAGCAGTTCAGGAGGGGTCGGCAGCCGTGGGACTGGGACAGCACCCCAGGCCCCAACAGACTCCCTTTCCACACACCAGGTCCCCGGGCTCCTGGACTCTGGAGGGGCTGCAGGCCCGGGGACACCTGGCCACCCACATCAGCCCCCGGCTGTGGACGCAGGTGCCCGAGGTAGGACATGGTATCCTGGATGGTTGTCCCCCAGCCTATCCTAGGCCTAGGGTCCAGCAGGCGGTCACCCCAGGGCCTGAGTAGTATACCAGACAGTGCCCAGGATCCCAGGGTTTTTGCCTGTGGAGAGAGGGGGTTGGTGGCCCCGGAGGCCGAGCCACCGTCCCCGTCCCCCCAGGCTGTGGGCCTGGACTTCTTCCGCAGCGCAGCGTTTGCATACCGGGAGGGGCGGCTTGGCCCTCGTGACACCAGGCGCTTGGTCACTGGCTTTCTCCAGGCCAGGCCAACATGGCATCCCCGAGGCCCCGGCAGGGCGCAGGCCAGTGGCCACCAAGGCTGTGATGCTACGCCTCCTCTGCTCGGGGCTCCCCATGACGCTTGAGATGACTGCTCCCGGACGTCCGAAACCTGCGCCCAGGGAATGAGACCAACGCAGGGTCTGGGCTGGAGACCAGAGTTCAGTGGGGCTAGGCTTGGGGGCCGAGCTGGGGTTAATAGTTGAGGCCAGAGTCATGGTTTGGCCTAGATTCTTGGTTAGGGGTCAAGGCGGAAGTCCTGGCCTCACCACCACAGGGAGAGCCTGCATCCGCGGTGACATCACGGCAGCCACCCTGCGGGACAGCCTCTTCCTGGTGCACTGCAACCGCCCACAGCTCGAGTCCTGCCTGGGCAGCCGCGGGCTCCGGGCCAACCTGGACCCCCTGCTGCAGCACCCGCTGCCTGTTGAGTGCCAGCGCGTGGTCAAGGCCAAGCTCGGCCAGGTGGGTGGGGCCAGTGGGTGGTCAGGGCTGAGCTGGGTCAGGTGGGTGGGGGGTGGTGGCTGGTCAGGGCTGAGCTGGGTCAGGTGGGTGGGGGATGGTGGATGGTCAGGACTGACTGGGGCAGGTGGGTGGGGGATGGTGGATGGTCAGGACTGACTGGGTCAGGTGGGTGGGGGATGGTGGATGGTCAGGGCTGAGCTGGGTCAGGTGGGTGGGGGATGGTGGATGGTCAGGGCTGAGCTGGGTCAGGTGGGTGGGGCCAGCTCTGCAGGCTGTGGCAGGATGGGGCCTCAGGGCAGGGGCAGCCTGACCTGTCCCTGGCCCATCCCTGGCCCGTCCCCCCTGCAGATCTACCCACGTGGCATCCCCGAGGACCAGCGGCGGCACATCACCTCGCTGGTCTACCTGTACTCGGACGTTGAAGTTGGCCAGGGGAACATCATGTCCCGAGACACAGTCCTGGCCCCCCTGGCAGCAGACGTGGCCCTGAACCACCAGACCGAGGTGCGCCAGCGGGGTGGGACCCCCTGAGCCCCCTGCCCTGGGCCCGGCCCACTGACCCCGCCCCACCCGCAGGCTGTCCTGCAGAAGTTCCTGGACCACAATGGCACGCTTACCAGCCCACTGCTCATGGCCATTGGGGGCTCCCGCCTCTGCTGGATGAGTCCCCGGCAGATCCAGACCATCCAGCCCTCCGAGTTCTGGTGAGACCCCCGCCCTGTCCGTGAGTCCCTCCCAGAGGCCCATGCAACTCTGGAGTCAGCTAAGAGAACCAGGCTGGAGTCGGCTCCACCCCTAGGCCAAGGAGGACTACGAAGGGGAAACTGAGGCTGGGGGTGGGGGGCAGCCATCCAGAGGGTGTACTAGTCTCCTGGAGCGGCCGTAACAAAGGACCACAAACTGGGAAGCTTGAAACAAGAGAAATTTATTCTTTCGCTGTTCTGGGGGCTGAAGCCTGAATTCAGGGTGTTGTCCCGGCCGAGCTTCCCCCGAAGGCTGTAGGAGAGGGTCCTTCCTTGTCTGGGCTCGTGACCGCGTCACTCGTCTCTGCCTCGTGTCACATGGCTTCTCCCCGTCTCCCCGTCTGTGTGTCCCCTTGCAAGGACACCAGTCATTGCATTAGGGTCACCGTGCTGCAATGCGCCCTCATGCTAACTAACCCCAACGCCAAAGACCCTGTTTCCAAACCAGGTCGCATGCTGAGGTTCTGGTGGATGTGAATCTGAGGGGACGCCATCCAGCCCACCACAGAGGTCGAGGGGGAGCTGAGGCTAGGGCAGCAAGGGCCAGGCCAGGTGTCCGGAAGGCAGGGGCTCCTGGCCTGCTCATGGGTCTTGCTCCCCAGGCTGGCCGGGGCCCTAGATATCTCCGCCTGCCCACAGAGCCGGAAGGACGTGCTCTACGCCAAGGCCCGCGAGGCCTACGGTGGCACCAGGACTGCAGCCACCTACTACCGCTTCATGCGCCCCTACCCGGTGAGCCACCTGCATGCAGTACCCTCCCCCGAAGCCTCACCCTCGCCTCTGACTGCTTTCTCAACCCCAGGCGGTGCCCCCGTGGAGGAGCTGCAGCACCTGGCCCAAGCCAACGTCCGCATGGACATTGACACCTTCACCAACCTCAATCCCCGGGTGCTGCAGGTGGGCCCCAGGCTGCCCAGGGGGCAGGAAAGTCCCTGAAGCTCCAGCTTCAGGGCACAGGCCCCCGAGTCCCCTCCAAGTCAGCCGTGCAGACAGTGTGGGCCAGCCTCGTTCTGCAGCCTGGCTCCACTGCCCCTTCCCCACCATTCACACTCGTATCCCTGGTTAACACTGCCCTGTGGGTCTTCCCAACGCTGACCCCACAAAACCCTCCATTCCCTGTCTCCCACCTGCTCCCCCACAGAGCCTCAGTGTGGACCACGTGACAACATTGCTGGGTCAGAACGTGGGGGACCTACGGAAGGCACGCAGCCACCCCACCGTTAGCTCCTGGCTCCGCAGCCTGAACCACTCGGCCCTGGGCGAGCTGGGCCTGGACACTGATGTTGCCAGCACCGTCGGCCCAGCCTTCATGTCCAGGGGGACCCCAAACACCCAGCCCCGGCAGCCCCGCCCAGCCCACCCCTCAGGCCTGCCCGGGAGCGGCGCTGAGGCCCCCACCTCAGGTATGCCCCGCACGCCCCGCTGCCCTCTGGCATCCCCCTGGTGGTGGCCCCTACCCGGGGCCTACAGCAGCCTCGTCGCTGGTCTCCTGCCCACATCCTGCTTTGCCCTCTGGCGCCCCACCCCATGTTGCCCCCTCGTTCACAGTAGCTACACTGTCCCTGCCCCCTGAGGAATTTAGGGGCAAAAGCACCCCACCCCAAGCTCTTGGAACAACAGAAAGTGCGGGGACACTCTGAAGTCCTGCCAATGGCTGCTGGTGGGGGCCTCGCTCGCCCTCTTCATCCTCAGGAAGGGCTGGGTTGGGAGCCCGAGGAAGGGCTGGCTGCGGCAGCTCCGGCTAACACTGACAGGCACCCCTCCGTGTCCACTGCAGGCAGCCCTTAGACACTCCTGGGGTCCCTGCCACTCGCCCTGGTCCTGCCCTCCAGCCTTCTGTGGTTGCTGTACTGGGCGCCCCTGAGCCCACCTTGGCCTGCTCGTCGGGGGCCCACACTGCGGACAGTGCTGCCCCAGGGCGGCCAGGCCCACGGGCAGTGCACACAGGGACGACAGGGCTCACAGGCAAATCTGGGCCAGGGGACCTGGGGGGCCTGCATTCCCGGCCCCCACTCACCCCCGGCCTCCAGGACCTAGAGCTGGACTGAGGCACCGTGGCTGCCTGGATCCTCCTTGCCCCTCCAGGAGGAAGACCTGGGCAGGGGGCTTCGGTGTCACCAGTTCTGCTGACGGGTGTAAATAAAGTTCAAGTTCTCTCCCCGCCTGTGTCCCTCTGCTCTGGGCTGGCGGGGGGAGGGATGGAGCACAGAGACCCTCGGCCAGGACCCAGCCCTTGTGGCCCCACACACATCTCAGCTGGGGGCTTGGGAACAGGACCCTTGAAGTCCCTGCCTTCAGGACAGTGGATCGTGTCAGGAAGGCCCCAACTGGCCCCCACCCTGCTGAGTCCCACTCATAAAGCCCCTTTCCCAGTGTGAGTGGGGGGCTGGAGAAGGCCACACGCAAAGCTGAGAGGGCATTTGTGGGGTCACAGCCGCCAGGCCCTCCAGCACCCAGGGAGCCCCAAAGTCATGCTCTGACCCCATCTGTGGACTCACAACACCAAGGTCACATCTGCGGGGGAGTGTGGCGCCATTTATTGAGGCTCTCCGTGTGGGGTGGACATGACCGGCCTGCTCGTGGCAGGCGGGGCTCCAGCGGGTCCGGGGCGAGGCGTACAGGGCAGCACAGCTCGAGGCCGAAGCCAGGAGCAGCGACAGGAGTGAGGCCAGCACAGATCCAGGTCCAGGGATGCAGGGGCCCAAGAGGGCCTCTGTGCAGAGAGGGGCCCAGGCAGACCCACCCAGCCCTCCCTGAAAGCCAACCAGCTACGCACGCCCACCTTGGGCACCCAGGTCCACGACCAGGTAGCCATTGGGAATGCCGCCCTGGAGCCCCAGGCCCAGCGTGTCCAGGTCTTCCTGCCGCTGCCGGACAATCCAGTCCCACACCGGGCTGTTCCGCTCCTCCACCTTCAGGTCAACCACATGCGGCCCCAGCAGCCCGCGCACTTCAGCCACCGTCAGGGGCTGCCGGAGACCCCCCCCACAGGGTGACCATCAGGGTCTCCTGCCCCCGCATCCCCTTCCCTCTATCCCACAAGGCTGTGATCAACTGCCCAGACCTGCCCCGTTTCCCCGTCCACAAGTCCAGCCTCAACCCGGCACCCCTGGCCTGGGGAGCCCATCTGGGCCAGACCCTCACCCACCACCGCCCCGCCTGCCCCCGTCTGGCCATACCAGCACAGCCTCTGTCCACAGCTCCTTGAACACGGCCACATCCATGCTGATGTTCTGCCGGCTGAGGGCTCGCAGGTGCTTTGTGGTGGCCCCCCCTGTCGTGTGGGAAGAGGGATCCTGAGGCTGTGTGAGGCCCCGCAGACACCTCCAGAACACCGCCCCCCCAGCCCCTGCTCACTTCCCACAGAGATTCCCTCATCCAGAAGTGCTCCGGGCCCGGGGGGGAGGTGGGATGGCCGGAGCAGGTCAGGGTGCCCCTCGGCAGCACAGAGCCCCACCATGGTGTCTCAGTTCAAACACACTTGGGGGCCGAGGACGCCAGTGGGCAGCTCTAAGGTGGGGAGGGAGCTGCGGCCCCCACGTCCGCCAGGGCCCCAGGCTCACCCAGGTAGGGTTGGATCCTCTCCAGGTAGCTGGGCCCAGTCCCGTTCTGGAAGGCTACTTGGGCCTTCGTGTAAAGGACCTCCATCTGTGGCAGGGGGCACCCCTCCAGGGTTCTGGGCTCAACTTCCCTGGAGGGAGCATGGGGCCAGGCGTTGAGCGCGGCCCCAGTACACCCACTGCGCCCCGGTGCCCGAGGACTCACCAAAGGATGTTGGGCTGCAAGAATTCCAGCTGCTCAGGACTGAGCAGACAGAGGTAGGCAGGGCTGAGGGTGGCCACGGTGGCCAGGGTGTCCTCATCGACCTGGACCCCACAAGCCACATAACGGGCTATCAGGGCAGCCACCTGTGGGAGGAGCTGCTGAGGCGCCTGGGGCACAGAGAGGCCTACCACCCACCCCCAGCCTGCACAGCCTCACACCGTGTTGTCCCCCCACCTCCTGCACAGCCTCACCCTGCACCCCACCCCTGGCCTTCCCAACCTCACACCCTGTGCCCTCCCACAGATACACACACACACACACACACACACACACACACACACACACGCTGTGCTCCCCCAGTCTTCCTAACTTCACACCCGGTGGCCCCTGCCCCACACATCCTCACACCCTGTGCCCCCCCACCCGCACACCCTCACACCCTGTGCCCCCCCACCTGCACACCCCAGGGCAGGTGGTCACCTGGGCATCTGCCTTTTGCCCCCTGCTGACTTGGAGCAGAGCTTTCAGGGTCTCCGTGGACGTCACGTCCCACTTGCCAATATCCTCAGGTGAGACCAGCAGGAACAGGGAGCCCAGTCTCTGGACCACGTTGGCGGGATACCTCTGGGGGTAGGTCTGCATGGGGGAGGGGCCGTGAGAGCCGTGGCCTCCCCCAGGATGACGGGGCGGGGGGGGCAGCAGGCCGGTGGGAGCCCGCACCCTCAGCTACCTTGTCCAGCTTGCGCTTGAAAACAGTGAGCTGCTCGTAGGTGAAGGGGATGGCATCCACCCGGCCCAGCTGCTCGGCCAGCAGGGCAGCGTCCACACAGCCCTGCAGTTCCCGCTCCGAGTAGAAGACCAGCATCTCGTCCACCTCGAGGACCTCCATCCCCGGGGGGCAGCCCTCCTCTGCAGGGGGACAGACGAGGTGGGGGTGGGCTGCTTTTTTGACAGCGTCCCCCCACACACAGGTGAGCCCCGGCTCCTCCCCCCAAGCAGGCACAGTGCTCACTGTCCTTGGTGTCCCGCCGCAGTCGGGCCAGCCAGGCCCTCGGGAGGACAGCAGACAGCATAGGGGGCCACCAGCGTGGGTCCCTGAGGTCACGCTGCAGCCGGGCAGCCATGACGTCCTGAGGACAGAGCAGGGTGGGGCGGGGTCTCACCTGGCGAACGCTGAGAGGAGCGGCTGGTGTGGCACGGGCGGCAGCCCCTGCAGGGCACCCAGCTCCTCCGGCCAGTGGTACCTCAGGCCCAGCTACACCTGACTCGCACTGTTGGGTTATGTAGCTGGGTGTGGCTGCGTGTGTAACTCTGTGTGTGTGTGTGTGTGTGTGTGTGTGTGTGACAGAGAGAGAGAGAGAGAACACAGGCTGGCCTCACCCATGACATGCAGGGCCAGGGGCCCCCTCCCAGACCCATGAAACCTTCCCCCACACCCCCTGAGGGGCCTTACCTGTCCTGTCTCTGCAGTCTGGACCCCAGAAGGTAACACCCACCCTGCACAGGAAGGGGTGTGAGGTTGGGAAGAGGGCCCGGGGCTTCTGGGGTGTGGCTGCCCCAGGCCTTGACCCTAGAGGTGAGGGAACAAATCCTGGCCCCAATCTGGTCCCCAACCCCGGACACACCCCACCCCAGGGGCAGGGACCTGGACCCCAAAAGGGAGCCCCACCTCCACACCCTCCTCCTGGCACTCAGCTGCTCAGGGCAGTAGGCAGCCCCACAGACACCCTGCTTTGGCGTCAGCCCCCACTGCCCCAGCTCAGCCTCCAACACAGTGGGGTGCGGCAGTTCGGGGAGGGTGCCAGACACAGCCACCTCTAGGGGTGGGGGCAGGGGTGAAGCGACACCTTCAAACACTGGCCGATGGCTGGGGGAACTTGGATCCCTGCCTGCAGCCTGAGAGGAGGGGGGCTGCGATGGGAGGGCATAGCCTTTCCCCAAAGTCCCTCCACCCTGCCCCGACCCCCTCTGGCTGCCCAGCACCTTGAGCAGCCCCTCCCTTTACTCACCAAGGCTGAGGAGAAGGACGAGGCTGCAGTGGGTGGGGGTCCCATGGGGCCCAGTCTGCAAAGTCATGGTCTGTGGGAACAGTGACCCTGACACCCCGTGGGCAGGACCAGACTCCCCCACCACCCATACTGTGGCCTGGGACACCCCTCTGGGGGTGTGTGTCTAGGGCCGAGCCCTGCCCGCTCAAGGTCCCATGGGGCCACAGGGAATCCAGGACGAACCTCCCGAGGCGCCTGCCACAGCGTCTGTGCCACTGCCCGGCCAGCCTGTCCCCTCTGGGGAGCGGCCCCTCCTGCCCCAGGCATCCTGAGTCATACCTGCCCCGCTGTGAGTGCCCAGGGCAGGGGGCGGTGCCACGGCCTCCCCCGACCGCGGCGGGTGGGTGGACATCTCCATCTTAGTGTGAGGACACAGGCCACCTCCTGCCCAGGCCAGCCTCAGTTTCCCCTCCGGGCGCACTGTGCTTCCCAGCTAGGGGCTGGGCTGTTGGGTGGCCCCCTCCCCGGTGCAGCCCTGCCTTCCCCCCATCCCATGCCCTTGGCTGCAGGTGTTTGGCTTTGTAGGAACAGGAGTCCTACAGCAAACAGCACCCCGGGACAGAGTGGGGTGGGCAGGGCCGCCTGCCAGAGAGGGGGACTGTTCCTGGGTTCCCTTTGGAGCCCCTCCCAGCAGGGGAAAGAAAGAAGGCCCTGGGGGTGGGGTGGGTGTGGAGAAGGGTCGCCCCTTCCCAGCTCCAGCCCCTTGGAGCCACACTGGGCTGTGGGCTTCATTTTCAGAGGTAGACATGGGGGGCAACCCTCAGCTTCTGTGTGTACTCTCTGAGGGTGGGGCTCAGGGCCTGTGGGTCAGGGTGGGTGAGGAGCCCTTCCCTGGAGGAGAACTGTCCTCCTGGCATGGGGGGTGAGGCCTGCAGGAGACCAGCCACCCTCTACACTGCCCCTCCTCTCCCAGGAGGGCCAGAAGGGGCACTGCCTGTGGCTGCGTGGAGTAGAGGGGACCCATTCCCCTAAACCTTTGTTTAGGCTGGTGCCTGCCCCGCCCAGGGCTCAGAAATGGGAGGGGATTTCATCCTTCAAACAGGGGCAAAGAGCCTCCTGGGCCACCCCAGTACCCGCCGGGGGTGGGGCGATCTTGGGGAGCAACCACAGCCTTCAGATGTCACCCTGCTGTCCCCAGGCCTCTGCCAAGGTGGGAAGCTCCTGGGGCTGCAGAGACCTCGAGAGGCCAGAGAAAACCCGACCTCCAAACCAGAAAGTGGGCGGTGGGGTGGGGGTAGGGTCCCCTGCGATGGGCATGGCCAAGCATGGAATATGCACCTCCCTGCTGTCTCCCCTAGACCACAGGAGACTCCGACACGGCCGCCCTGCACCCTCCTCCATGACCGACGTCCCCTCAGTCACTCACTGAGAGCCTGGTACTATGCAGTGGGCCCTGCTCAGGCTCTGGGCATACCCTGGAGCAGGATAGACTGGAGCCCTGTCTGGGGCTAGGGGGAGGGGGCCTGGCCGCAGAGAGCACCGGCCCTGTCCCTCTTCCACCCTGCCTTGCCACCAGGGCAACAGCAATCCCTCGTTATTCCCCAGGTGGAGTCTGGGGTCTGAGTGGACCTCAAGCTCCTCAGAGCGGTGTGGGAGAAGGAGGTGGCTCAGGACACACTGGCTGAGGTTCTTTCCTTGCCCACCGGTCCCACCACCTGCAGAACCTCCCACCCCAGCCCAACCACGCTCCCCAAGGATTGTCCCTCCAGTGAAAGCAAAGAAGTCAGACCACATTCTCTGCCAACCTCAGGCCTCTCAGGTGAGGGCAGGCAGGGGAGCGGATTACGGGTTTAGGGGTGGGTCTTGGACACAGGTCAGTTTGTCTGCCCCAAGCACGAGAGACGCCGGAGCCCGCCCAGGGTCACAGTGTGTCAGCGGCAGGCCCAGGGCTGGGGGCGGAGATGACCCCAAGCCATCACCCTCGGAGGAGGGGGAGGCCTCGCCCCTCCCCCCACGCAGTGGAGACCTAAGGAGGGGGCATCTGCAGTGGACAGGGCACCAGGGGGTGCCCCCCTTCCCCAGGCTGTGTGATTTGGGGCTGGCCCAGGCCAAATCCCCAGGCGGGTCCCAGTACCAGCCGCCGGCTAATCCCTGCTCCCACCCAGCACAGGCTTGGCCGAAGGGTTAATGGGGGTGTTGACGGAGACTTCCCTGCCCTCACCTCCTCCAGGAATGCCCACTCCCAGGCACATTCCCAAGCTTGTGACCTCGGACCCCTGCAGCACACAGATGAGGTCACAGTCACCTCTCGGGGCCTGAATGCTGATCTCAGTACCCGGGAGGTGCTGTTTCCCTGGGGAGGCGCCCCAGTGCCCCCAGGCCCCCTAGACCTGGATGGTCCCTCCCAGTGTCCTGGCAGGCCCTGCCTTGTGGTGACTCTCACCTTCCAGGCTGACCCACCGAGCCCGGTCCCTCTCTGCCTCGGTTTCCACCGCCGGGAAGTGGGGCTGGTCTAGCGCCCGGCACTCTCTGGGGCTCTCAAAGGGAAAAAATGGGCCTGCCCAGGTAGCTGGGAGGGGCGGCTGCTCATGCTGCAGGAATGCATGGGTGTACCCTGCCCAGAGCAATGGCCGGCACTGGGCCAGGCCTGGGCCACCCCACAATGGGGGCAGCGGAGCAGAGAGCCGCCCTGGACCTTGTCTTGGTGGGCGTGTGGGAGCTCTGCCAGGTGGACAGTCGTGGGCCCCAGGTGTGGGCCAGGAGCCCTCAAGGCATTGCTTCCTGCCCTCTTGCTCTCCCATTTCTCAGGGTGTGAAGCTGAGGCTCCGTGAAGCAGAGTGGCCCGCCTGACTGGGAACCCACACCGATGCCTTCCCCTGTGTCCCTGTCTCTGCATCTCCTCCTCTATGAGGACAGGACTCACGTAAGACTAGGACCCACCCTACTCCAGCAGGACCTCGTGGCAAGGCTAACTGGCAACATCTGCAAAGACCCTCCTTCCAAACCGTCACGTTCACAGGTACTGGGTTAGGACTTGAACTTATCTTTTCAGGGGACACGATTCACCCCCCTAACATCCGGGTACTTGTCTGCTCCAGGGAGCACATGTCACCGCTGCTCCTGCTCAAGGTACTCAGCTCTTATTTCCGAGAAAAGTTCACAGCTAAGTCCATCAGAAAAGTGGAGGTCATCGCTGGCATTACTGGTTCAAAAACCCATGAGTGATTCAAATACTTTCCGCAAAGTATCTGTGGCTGAGTAATATCAGGAAAAGCCTTAGGCTTTAAACATGTTACATTTCCACAAGCTTTGTAACTTTGTCCAGCTAAGCCTTTTCCTGCCCACACATACTGTTACCACCAGGGATTAACACACGTTGGTAGATCCTCCTCCACGTTGTGACCAGTTAACGTTTCCTCAACTTGTTTTAAATACGCTCCCTGTAGTTAGTTGTTCCGTGGGTGGAGTCACTTGCAACTCCTGGAATAAACAACCCCAACCGGGCCGTATCAGTAACGTCTGTCTACCCATGAGGAGCCAAGGAAACCACCTCAAATAATTGGCCTTGTTTTTTAAGTGACTGCAGATTTCGATCCCAGTGTGCTTAACCTTGGAACAACTGTTCTTGCCCAAAGGCTGAGAGTCTTAAAGTTCATTTTCTCTGCACAATCTTTCCTGCAGTCAAACGTGATTTAGTTAACTCACTGTCCATAAATGGCTTTCCTCCTTGGCTAACAAATGAGCCCCTCAGAAACTGAATTTGTCTGCAGCCTCATTTTCATTTTTTATTTTTGTCAAGAAATTCAACTTGACAAAATACTCTGTTTTAACATTTCTGATTTTTCTGACCGTTGCTTTCCTATGAGTTGGGAATATTTCCTGTGACGAGTGCTTGGTCTGGTAATGTGGATGTGTAGTGTATTTCAGCATAGCTGTAGGGTCACTGCATGCAGTGCTTTGCCATCTAGTTTAATAAAATAATCCACACTCCACTGCGCCTTAAAAACATGACATTTCAAAGTCCATTGTCAGCATTTTTTTTTCAGCATGACGGGTCTGTCTTGGTAAGAGAGAATAGAATAAAATGTAGCAATACGGTGATACGCGAGGCGCTGGAAACACTGTTCCCACTCCACCTGTTAGCGTTGCTCCAGAGCCCTGCCATCGCAGCGTCTCCTCAACCGCCACCAGGAGAACCACATCCCCTTCACGGGTGCACCAGGACTCAGAGGCCGCCATCAACCGCCAGATCAGCCTGGAGCTCTACTCCTCCTACGTCTACCTGTCCATGTCTTACTACTTCAACCCCTATGATGATGCTTTGAAGAATTTTCCCAAGTATTTTCTTCACCAATCTCACAAGGAGAGGGACCATGCTGAGAAGCTGATGAAGCTGCAGAACCAACAAGGTGGCCGAATCTTCCTTCAGGATATCAAGAAACCAGATGTGATGACTGGGAGAACGGGCTGAATGCAGTGGAGCGTGCCTTACATTTGGAAAAAGGCATGAATCAGTCAGTACTGGATCCGCACAAACTGGCCACTGACAAGAACGACCCCACTTGTGTGACTTCATTGAGACTCATTACCTAAATGAGCAGTGAAATCCATCAAAGAATTGGGTGACTATGTAGCCAACTTGTTCATGATGGGGCACCTAGAGTCTGGCCTGGCAGAGTATCTTGTTGACCAGCACACCCTGGGAAACAGTGATGGAGAGAGCTAAGCTTTAGTCTGGCCTCCCCATAGCCTCACGGGTGACTTCCGTGGTAACCAAGACAGCGCATGCATGTTGGGTTCAACTTAACCTTTTCTATACGTTGTACCGAAACATCCACCTCAGTTCTTTCATTTGTACCATTCCTTCAAATAAAGTAGTTAGGTACCCACCCCACAAAAAGAAAGAAATATTGGAAAATGTAGACAAGTAGAAAGAACAAGGAGCCCTGGTGGTGCAATGGCTAAGCGCTCATCTGTTAACTGAAAGATTGGTGGCTCAAACCCACCTGGCGTCTCCGTTGGAGAGAGATCTGGTGATCTTCTCCCACAAAGGTTCCAGCCTAGAAATCCCTATGGGGCAGTTCTACTCTGTCATACGGGGTCGCCAAGCGTCGGAATCAACCAGGCAGCACCCAACAACAACAGAAAGAACAGTTATTCCTGGTTCCCACCCCTGCAACTCTGCAACTTGTAACTTGTAACCTACAACCGGTAACCTGCAATCTGCAACCTGTAACTTGCAGCCTGTAACCTGTAACCTGTAACCTGTAACCTGCAACCTATAACCTGTAACTTGCAACCTGTAACCTGCAACCTGTAACCTGTAGGTGAGTTTCCTTCCAGTCTTTTTTCTCGGCAAAGTCTTGGTCGACATTTGGTGCATGCTCACACATGTGCACCTGGTTTTGTGTGAGCACC